ATGATAAAATCGTCTAAAAATGCATTTCTCAGAATGTGTCTCATTTTTAAGTGGTGCATGACTGTCCCTGCTGTGAAAAATCACTGCACGGCACCTTCTGGCTACCAAGACACTCCAAGCCTGGTAAACACACACCATAACTAGCCCTCCCTACACTCTCAGCCCCATCTCTCCTCCTGTCTTGGAACCTCCCATGGACTCCAATAAGATCCATATCAGATTTGCTCTTTTCCCTACATGCTTTTTTCCACTGCTCTAGCCTTCCACACCCTTCCTCCTTTGTGCAGCCCAATAGTTAAAGACTACCTGGCATTGTTTCGAAATTCAGACCTAGTCCCTCCAATAGGAATAAAGCTCCTTGAGGATAGTTTTCTTGACATATCACTTTTGTCCTCCTTTCACAGAAAAGGGCACAGAGTTAGTGAATTAAGACTGATATTTTGAAACTATCCATGTTTCCATTCTGGTTTTCTTTAGTTAATATTTAAAACAGCCTAGATAGATCTTATAGCTTTCTTGAGAAGCAGCAGCTCCTTATTTGGGAATTAGTTTATAAACTGCATGGTTGAAAATACATCCCAGCCCAGGACTTTCTCTACAGCTGGTGAGGAAGAAATGAACAAAGCCAGAGCCCAAAAAGACCAATATAGTCAATGTGCTTAGACAAATGTCAGCAGCTGTCAGGGAAATTTTCATACTTAGAATGGTTAGCTGGCTAGAGATTGGTTCTATTAAAAGATTTATTTCCTCTGCAGAAGAAAAGTTTGAAAAAATTAAATTTTAAGTGGGACTTATAGAAGAAGCCTGGGCACATAATGTGAAAACAAATTACAAAGCAGTTTTCCAAGTAAGTTCAGAGATTTTCAGCAAAAGACAATGATTTAAAATGAGGCTTTGGTCTTGAAAAATAAATTGCTCCAAAGGAATAATATATTTTTTAACATATGATGCCAAAAATTTGGAAATGAGTACCACAGAGTTTCTCTTGTACTATATGTTTATTCATAGAGTCATTCATGGGGTGTCTAACATGTGCTGGGCATTGTGCTTGGTAGGTGCTAGAAAAAAAGAAAAAGACATTATCATCCACAAGTATGTCAAACTGGGGGAGAATGTTTTAAAATATGTCAAATGAGCTAATAGGAATATGCATCTATTTTGAGCTTGGGATCATGACTGAATGTTAGACGTTGGGAATCATCAAGTGGGTAGAGGAACTGTGAATTACACAGTTTGAAGTAAATAGGTAAAGACTGTAGTTTCTGGAAGCCAAGAATAAACTACAAGATAAGACATCCACAAGTTATTGAAACATATCCAGAAGTCCTATAATCACCAGAGGACAGAGACAAGCTAGATTTCAATAATCCAGAAAAAACAGAACATATGCCAACAATTACCAAAGTCAGCAGAGATGAAAACAGACCAAAGTCTACACAGTCAGGATAGATAAGAAACAGCAGGGGGCTGGGGATGTGGCTCAAGTAGTAGCGGGTTCGATCCTCAGCACCACATACAAAGATGTTGTGTCCGCAGAAAACTAAAAAATAAATATTAAAAATTCTCTCTGTCTCTCTCTTTAAGAAAGAAAGAAAGAAAGAAAGAAAGAAAGAAAGAAAGAAAGAAAGAAAGAAAGAAAGAAAGAAAGAAAGAAAGAAACAGCAGGAAGTATCAAGTAAAGGTGGGCTAGCAGCCTGGAATCCTGAATATTCACTCAAGCTCATCTGTGAGCACAGAGGAGAAGTAAGCCAAACCTTGAAAAAGATAAACTCTTATCTGTCATGAGCACCACCACGTGTCAGGTATTAGGCTAGTCACTTCATATAAATTATGCCATTTAATCGCCTCACTCCTAACTGTGAGAGGGTTGTTTACAGATGAGAAAATTGAGACTCAGAGATTAAATGCCTTGCCCCAAATCAGTGATCATCTCCCAAATTGTGAGAGAGCTGTTTACAGATGAAACAATTGGGACTCAGAGTGATTAACCTGCCCCAGATCACAGTGATCATCCTGGTAAAGCCAGGATTCAAATCAGGAAGTTTGCTTTACAAGTCTGCACACTGAAAGTTGAGTCCATCTACATCCTGCCTGGAAAGAAACACTGAGAGTGGTTTCATCAGCTGGGAAAAAAGTGAGGCATCTCTGACTCCAGGTAAATTTAGATAAGCTGGCCAAGAAGAAGGCAGCAATGATTTAGGATAGATAACAACGAAGTGATCCAAGGAACTTCCATTAAGTGGTCAAATTAGATTTAGTGTGGCAGCCTTTTGTTGTCATGTTGTTGTTATTTTTGCTTTGCAAAACTTCAAGATGGCAGTGATTATATGACCAGAAGTCTTGGCACCTTTGACTTGGGTGGGCTCCACATTACTACATTTCCTAGTAGGGACTGTAATAGCCTGGAACCTTTAAGAGACTGAACAAGGAGTTAATTAAATTTCCTCAGGAAAAGTGAAGAGCAAAGAATAAAGGATCAGACGCTACAAAATGAAGCCAAGTTGTCTGTCTCACCAAAAGAACAAACAAGACTGAGGTATTCATCCACACCTGCAGTAGGGAAAACATCTGGGTTCCTGGTGATAAGAACATGGAGTAGGTGTGCTGCTGCATCTGATGCCGGCTTTCAGTCCAAAGTGGGATAATAGCTACCATCAAGCACTGTTGGAACAAAATTTAAATTGAGCATTCAGCAAATAGTGATTGTCTGAAAGTTCTTTGTCAGGGAGTTCATAAGAAAATCAAAGTTAAAAGGCCAGGATAGGATTTGATTTAGCATAAATGAAAGAACAGTTAGGACTATGAGTATAGGAAGGAGTGAACAAGACAGATGGGGAAGAGATCATTTTTAAAAATGTTTACCAGTTTTGCAAGATGAAATAAGTCCTAGAGATGGAGTTGCACAATGAAGTGATTTGAACTTACTGACACTGACCTTAAAATGCTTAAAATGATAAAGTTTTGTGTATTTTATTGTAGTTAAAAAATAAATTTTAAAATTTGATTGCTACAAAAGTGGCATAAATAGAACACATTTTTTAAAAGTAAGTACAATAGCCAGGCACAGTGGCACACACCTGTGATCCCAATGGCTAGGGAGGCTAAGACTGGAGGATCCAGAGTTCAAAGCCAGCCTCAGCAATAGCAAGGTGCTAAGCAACTCAGTGAGCCCCTATCTTTAAATGAAATAGAAAACAGGGCTTGTGATGTGGCTCAGTGGTTGAGTGCCCCTGAGTTCAATCCCCGATACAAAAAAAAAAGTAAGTATAGTTTATCAGAGGCTAGGCAAGCTGATTGATATTACTTAAAATGGGCTTAAAAAAGGTATCTGCAGGGCTGGGGATGTGGCTCAAGCGGTAGCGTGCTCGCCTGGCGTGCGTGCGGCCCGGGTTCGATCCTCAGCACCACATACCAACAAAGATGTTGTGTCCGCCGAGAACTAAAAAATAAATAAATATTAAAAAAAAAAAAAAAAAGGTATCTGCAGGGGCTGAGGCTGTAGCTCAGTGCTAAAGTGCTTGCCTTATATGGGTTCAATCCTCAGCACTACATAAAAATAAATATACTGTGTGTTCATCTACAACTAAATAAATTTTTTAAAAGGTATCTGCAGCTCATGTAAATTTCTGAATATCATGATATAAATCCTGATTGTCAAGAAATTCTTAAGCTACTATGGAAATAAGTATGAAAGTTCCTCAAAAAATTAGAACTATCATATGATCCAGGTATACCACTCCTGGGTATATGCCTAAAGAAAATAAAATCAGCACCCCAAAGAGAGATACCTGCATACCTATCTTTATTGCAGCACTATTCACAATAGCCAAGTTTTGAAATCTGCCTTAGTAGCCATAAACAGATGAATAGATAAAGAAAATAGTGTGTATATACCAAATGGAATATTATGCATCCATAAATAAGAATGAAATCATGTTATTTGCAGGAAATGGATGAAACTGGAAATCATCATGTTAACTGAGATATGCCAGACACAGAAAGACAGATATCCTATGTTTTCTCTCACATGTGGAGACTCCAAGAAAGGCCTGCAAACAGAAGAGGGACTACTATTATTAGAGAAGGGGGGGCTGAGTGGATGGTATTAAAGCACAATATATGCATGTATAAAAATGTCATAGTGAAATCCACCGATTTGTACAATAAATATGAGTTAATACTTAAAAAGAAGTTGTTCTTGGGCTGGGACTATAGCTCAGTTGCAGAGCACTTGCCTAGCATGTGTGAGGCACTGGATTCGATCCTCTCAGCACCACACATAAATAAATAAAATAAAGGCATGCTGTCCATCTACAACTATAAAATTTTTTTTAAAAGTTGTTCTTAACATAGGCAGGTTTGTGGAGTTGGAACAAATAGTGTTATGAAAGATGCAGAATTTTTCAGTTCCTCAACCTAACCACATCAGGGATGTGATTCTACTATAAAGATTATGCCCATCGTTGACCACAAATCACTTATTGTCATAAGTGCCTATCTTATACTGCAAATAAGTGTCCTCTCCAACTTCCACAGTGCCCAGCAAACACAGCATTCTCCTGGATCCAAAAGATGACTAGCTGTCCTTTAAATAGGTCAAAGGTGCCAAGTCTATGGCCATTTAATCACCGCCATCTTCAAGTTTTGCAAACAAAAAAGGTCACACTCTACATCAGACTGACTACTTAATGGAAGTTCCTTGAATCACTGTAATTATCAACCCTTAGTCCTTGATCCATTTTCTCTTAGCCAGATTGTCTAATCTACACAATGATGGTATTACCTTGTTTTGCTTGGATTAGGAAAGCCTGTTAGAACTGTTTTGACATTTTGAGCCAAAGAATGCGGCCCCTGTACCCAGGATACCCTCTCGCTGCTCCCAGCGTTGCTTCCCTAGGTGCACCCAAGGATCAGAACCCCGAGACGAGGCTGAGGCCGCCTACATCTCGCGATAGCTAAGCAACGCGAGACTTCGCAGGTCATCAGAGGTGGGGTGTGGTGCGGTGCGCGGCGCTCTAGTGCTTCCGCAAAGATGGCGGCGGCTGCGGGCAGAAGCGCTCGGCTAGCGGCCTGGGGCGAAAGATTGCGGAGGGGACTCGCTGCCAGCCGCCGAGCCGTGCCAAGCCCTGGCCCCTTGGCAGCAGCAGTCGCCGGCGTGACCCTGGCAGGGGCAGGAGCGGCCTGGCATCACGGCCGCCTGAATGTCGCGGCTCGCGACAGCAGCCCCCCCGCCTTAGCACAGGTATGCGACGGGCCTTTTCAGCTAGGCTACCCAGGCTCTTCCCTCTGACATCCCCGCGGGGTCTCTCGATAGGTGGGACTTGCTTCTTTCTGGCCGTGGCCCCAGAGAACATTCGAGGCCGGTGGCAAGCCATACACAGCCACGCAAGGGAGGATTCCAGGGAAGGTGAAGGCAACCGACTTCAAACCCATCACCTTCAAACCCGTGAATTTGGTGGATAGAAGTGTGGGCGTGTCTTAAGTCCAAGGCTCTTATAGCAGGATTTCTGGGTACACCTCGCCCCTCACTCCCTCCCTGGTCAGTGAAATGACATTCGAATTTGCAGGTGGTGTGCATGTCATATACCCCACCCGAACATAGCTTATAACTTTATAACTAAAAATTTTAGGATCGCTCTTTTGTATAGCATGAAGTTGTCTTAGTAGATGACTTTTTTCAAATATTAACCCTAAAGATTAGCTGGTTAACAATTTCCAGATTTCATTATCAACTCTTAAGAAATCCTATTACATTTTTATAAAACTTAATGTTTTAGTGGACCGTGAATATTAAGCAGAAAAGACCTCCATCTGTTAAAGGTAAAGATCAAGTTCCCTACTTGAAGGTAAATGATATTGCCATGTAAAACATTTGAAACACTACTATTTTGCTGATACCGTATAAAGTGTAAGTGTATATATGTGAAATTTTTGGAAATTAAAAGTACTGTTTTATTTTTGTTATGTTTACATTGTGCCTTTGTAATGAAAATCTTAAGGAACAAATATAACAAAAAGAGGAAAGCAGAACTTGTAAAATAGAATTAATTATTGGCTGATAATATATTTAACATACCAAATAGTGGGGCTAGGGTTGTGGCTCAGTGGTAGACCACTTGCCTAGCATTTGTGAGGCCCTGAGTTCGACCCTCAGCAGCACATTGAAGGTTGAAGAATCCGTCTTGTAGTTTATCATAGATTTCTTGTCAGCTAATCTTGTGTCAAGCAGTTCTGTTTATGATTCATCCTTGGTTTCTCTGCTTCCCTTCTCAATCTCTTAATTCACCCTATTTAGAACCCTTGGATTAATCTTCCCCACAGTTTAATCCTACAATGTACCCTTCTTCAAACCATTAGTGCCCCATTTTGCCTAGAATAAAATCTGCATTTTTTTCTAGTGCTGAACATTGAACCCAGGGCCTCATGCCTGGTAGGCAAGTGTCTCCCTCTGAGCTACATCCCCAGCCTTCAACATTTCTAAACTTGATTGCTCAGAACCTCTATAGTCATATTCTGACCTGTTACTACTTGGATACCTTCCAACCAAAGTGATTCAGACTGTCCCCAGAAGATGAGTTGAATTCTCCTCCCCCCCCCTTTTAGCAGTTGTACAGTGATTTCTCTCCATTTATCTTGTCTTGTATTGTTTTCTGACACACTTCTAGCCTATTTTTGTTTTAAATTCCTGACTTGACCCTAAAAGTTCATACCATCATCCACAGTACTTTGTATTCTTTCTCTTTCTCTCTCTCTCACCCCTGCAACTTTGTGACTTTCAGCTTAGCTAAAGTGATACAGAAACCACTTTTATCAATTGTCTTGTAAAGTCTTGTGGCAGAACATTTACCTTTTTAAAAAATATTTTTTTTTAGTTGTTGGGGACCTTTTATTCTGTTTACTTTTTTATTTATGTGTGGTGCTGAGAATCAAAACCCAATGCCTCACACATGCCAGACAAGCACTCTACCACTGAGCCACAACTCAGCCTCAAGAACAGTTACTTAATGTGCTTATTGGATCAGTTTAAAACAGTGGCTCTCATCCTTTGATTGCCACAGTAGACATTTCCTCTCAACAACAGTGACTGAATAATGTGATATTCAGTATATCTATAACTTGAAAACTCTGTCTACCTCACTGATTTTGATAGATATCCCTAAGGGAGAGTCCTCTTAATCCTTCACCACCACAACTTTGGGAGCATATGTGCATAGTTGAGATAGATATTTTTGGTTTTGATTAATAATCTTTCATTTCTTGATACAATTTTATTTATCAGTATTATTATTGATTGTTATTTTACTTATTATCACCTAGGGATCTGTAATAATAGTGAGAATGTTCTTAACTTTCAATCATCATACTAAATAATTTTTCCAGTATAAATTGTGAATATATAGAAATAGAGTACTACACTTTTTTGATTCCCATGCAACTAGCAGCTTGCACTTGTGATGGTCAAATAGAAATTAAGGGTATAATTCCAGGTCAGAAAAAGTAAATAAGTTGGAATTTCCTTTCTTTCTTCTTTCCACAATTATTGAAATCTTACTATGTGCCAGGCTATATGAAAGAAGTAGGAATTAGACAGCTTATGTGTTTTCAGTTAATGGGAGAGGACAGTTTTATTTATTTATTTTAATTGGTTCTTGTTATACATGATAGTATAATCCATTTTAATATAATTATACAAGGATGGAATATATTCTAATTATGATCCCAGGCTTGTGGATGTACACAACGGTGAAATTCACTGTGGTGTATTCATATATGTGCATAGGAAAGTTATGTCAGATTCATTTCGCTGTCTTTCCTTTTCCTATCCTTTCATTCCCTTGCCTACTCCACTGTACTTTTTCTTTCTTTCCCCCCCCACATGTGTCTCTGATAATGTTAGCTTCCATGTATATACACACACATAACGGAGTATACTCAGCCATAAGAGAAATTACTTTATAACATTTGCCAGTAAATGGCAACACATATCACATTTTCTTTATCCATTCATCTGTTGAAGGGCACTTAGGTTGGTTCCATAGCTTAGCTATTGTAAATTATGGTACTATAAACATTGATATGGCTGTATAACTGTAGTATGCTGATTTTAACTTCTTTGGATATATATTGAGGAGTGGAATAACTAGGTCAAATGGTGATTTCATTCCTAATTTTTTGAGGAATATCCATACTACTTTCCAAAGTATTTGCACCAGTTTGCAGTCCCATCAACCATGTCTGAATGTACCCTTTCCCCACATCCTCACCAACATTTATTATTACTTGTATTGATAAATACCATTCTGGCTGGAGTGAGATAAAATCTTAGTATAGTTTTAATTTGCATTTCTCTAATTGCTAGAGATGTTGAACATTTTTTTCATATATTTGTTGGCCATTTTTATTTCTTCTTTTGAGAATTGTCTGTTTAGTTCTTTGGGAGAGGGTGGTTTTAATACAGTGTCATAAATGCTGTGGTATGTATAAGTGCTGGATGCTATGGGTATGTACTAGGAAAGCACCTAAAAAGTCTTGATGTCCTAAAGGAATGATATGTAAATGGTCACCTGAAGGATGATTGGGAATTTGCCAGGAAGAAAAGAGAAAGAGTGTTGCTAGCACAGGGGATAGCTTTCCAGAGGTCTGAAAGAAAAACTAACTCAGCAGGAAGTGAGCTGCAAAAGATGGATATGAGTAGTAACTGGGAATCGCCATGTGACAGGAATTTTACCTTTAGGACAGTAGGGAACTATTTCAGTAGTTTTAAAGCCTGATGGAGCCCCACCACTACCATCTCCACCCCAGATCCAGGCATAGAATGCAAGGGATCTAGGAGCTTAAAAAAAAAGTTGCATTTTTGTTTTCATTCACCTATAATTTAAAGTTTTCTTTAATAATGGATGTAGGCAACAAACTACCATAGTATTATAGTGATCAACTTTGTCATCAATAGAAGTGTCAGATATCTTCCTATCATAGTTACAGATATCTCAAAGTATCACTTCTAAATTACTTATTAAAACTGCCACCATACCATGTTATTTAATGCATGAAGTACAGTGCCAGGCACAGTGGTGCACTCCTTTGATCCCAGCAGCTTGGGAGACTGAGGCAGGAGGATCCTGAGTTCAAAGCCAACCTCAGGAATGAATTAAGAACTGGAGTTACAGAGCTATTGGAATAATTCAGGAAAGTTGATGGAAGATGAGTAGATGAATTCAAAAAGATAGATTTGTAAGGAGTCTGAGTTACAGAAGTCTTATACAAAATGTATTGTTTCAGAAATATATAGTGGGCAACAAACTGCCTCCTATAAAAAAAAATCCTTATTGGAACTTACTTTAGAGCTCATCAACATTTCAATTACTCTGTGTAAACTTCCTCTAAAACATGTAATAATGTTTGAAAATTATTTTAAGATTTTAATATACTGTCATTACAGTATTGTCATATGTGATTCATGCTTAGTAAAATCAAATAAAAATGGCAGAAGGGTTGAGACAAAGAAATCATTTAATCCATTCTGCTATGAAAAGGTAGCATCATTCTTAACAAACTATGTTATATTAAAAAATAAAAAAAAATTATTTCAGTAGGGGAGGGATTACAATAGAAAGTTACAACAAAGTTGTTATGGCTATCATTGTATTTTGTTGTTGCAAGCTAGAAAAAATACGTTAGTAAACCAAAACTAATGAAAACAAGCAAAGCTCCTTGTCATTAAATAAACCTTCAACAGCATTTAAGGTCAGAGTAAAAATACAGTTTTTCTGAACCATTTGTGTTACATATAAATCATTGTAATAATAGGGCCCAAAACTGGGGGGATGGGGGAGAAAAGAAGAAAATAAGGCCAAAGTAAAGTATAATATAGTTCACAGTTGATGTAGTTTATAGTTGACAGCAGTGATAATATTTTATTTGTTCTTATTCACTTGTTAATTTCATTTATTCCCCAAATTCTTGCATTTTGGGCATTAGTTAATATGTACTATTGAATACTGTAACTTCATGATTTCATGAGAAGTTTTTGTTTATTTGCTTTTCTACAGAAAATTTGTTGACTGCTATTAAAAAGGTAAAAATATTTTGCATATCTTGGTGTATAATGCTGTATTCCATGTTCTTAATAAGTCCAAATTCCTTATTATATAAATTCATTTGTATTCAATTCTCTTTGATAGGTTTATTTACACTTGTATGTATAACTCCTTAACATTTTTTGTTGTTATTTAGTTGGGCTCA